GAGTACTGGTCTCCAGGTAGCTATCCATGGGTGACTCCACACTAGAAGTTTCGCAGCTTTTGGAGGTGACATGAATTCCAAAGGTCTTCTCCAGTCAGGCTGCGACTGGAGATGACTTCATATTTTGGTGTACATGAAGGTGATGGGCGAGAGCCAGCTCCTGCTTATAGAGGAACATCTTGGGTATCTTCCGCCCTGGTACTCGTATCCACGTCTTCTCTCTGGGCTGCGAAAACTTTGCTGATATGTGACTCGGAAGTGACTTTTTTGCCCCCCCCCTGTAGTTCATGTCAGCCGTCTCCCTCCAATTGTAATCACTTATACGCTCCCTCAACTTGTAGAAAGCGGGTTTGGCGCCTAATCCACCCTGCCTGACACGCCTCTTCATACGCAGTGAACGAGACTATACATCCCCTTCTAAGGAATCGCTCCGGACATTTGAAGAACACGACTGTGTACCCACTCTACTTTTCTTGATGTTGAAACTGCGCCTAAGCTTGGCAAACTTATGTATTAGTGAGGTTGTAGTGAGCTACCTTTTCAAATCGCCTAAAACAGTGGCAAACGAAATGCTATTTTTTTGTGGGCTAGTTCAGGAGAGAGAGAGAGGGAGAAAGAGAGAGGGATCACATGGAAGTTGACTGGTCCAGGGTCTCAATAATAGAAGAGGAAAACCCTGCCACTTCGAAGATTTCCAGCATGGAAGAAAAGTGGCAAAGCCTGGGATTCCTACACGCGCTCATGCTCTATGAGCACCTGCATTACCTATAAATAATATAAACCACAGAATAGGAAAAAAATTTACCTTTCTAAATCTTTTATTCCCGATCTGGAAGCTTTCACCTTCTGATACCTTGGATCGAATGAAGCTAATCGTTACCGGTAAAGGTAGTCGGTCCATTTGGACCAATTTTACCGACGGGGAGGTCATTCTGAATAAATTTAATCATCAACAGTTGTTTGCAAGTGATACAAGGATACGTAAGGTGACAGCGTGTGTCAGGTGACCGAAAAACGAATAGCTACAGCATGGTTATCGAAAAAAAACACAGGGAGCTTCTCTCCAAGATCGAGTTCCTGAACTGTGCGATTGGCGAATCGGAAAACCCGTGAAAAGGAATACCTACGTGTTGATCTGGAAAAACGGACAATGGAAGAAGGGAGTCGAAGAGCTGCAAAATTCATGAAATGTTCTAGACATAAATTTGTTGTGTGGTATCCCACACCGGATCTTTTGAGAGAATTGAAGAACCGACGTATCATTAATAACAAAATCAGCGGAGAAGCTGAAATACAAGCAATTCCGCAAACCCTGTTCAAGAGGAAAAAGTGGAGAATCGGCGAAACTGATTTGTAACTGGTCGCTTTCGCGAATTCTCTGATTCTCCAGATTCTTGCTACAAACATGGCCTAATAGGCATGGGAATCGCACGCTTCCAAGCGATTCTGTCATTAAAGACAGGGCACGCTCCACCCTTTTTTTGCAAACTATGACCCCGTTGAAATTTCGCCCTCTGGTACAACCCCTTCCAACTCACCCCTACTGTCTCTCTGAATTTTCTTACCGTATTAGGGAGTTTCTTTTCTTCCGAAATTCTCCACTTTTCCCTATGATCATGAATCAAGCAAGAATTACATTAATGCTACACGTTAGTCGGACGTCAGCGGAGCTGACATCAGGCAGCGTTCAGACTTCAGAGGGTAACGCTTCCGCGACAGACGCGAGGGACGCAGTCGAAAGCATGCGCGATTAATGCTGTCGAAGCATGCACGATCGTAATAATCAAAACTTTTGATGGGGGTCCTGCCGCGATAGGCCAGAGCGCAGACCACTAAAGGACTGCAACCATCAAGGCGTTGTGAAGTACAAAAACATGACGCGACAGAGGATAAGTCCGTTCAAAGGGAGGAGACACCGGGTGGATAAGCCACTTAGTATGCGTGAAAAGTTGGAACGTGAAAGGTC